TTGAAGGAGTAGGACTTGCCAAATATTTACCAACTCTTTCAGCAGGCTGAAAATGTCACTCTTGCAGTGTAATAAACTTCCCCAGAAAGGCCCTGATAAATAGAGAGCCTTGCTGTACTGGCCAGAACTAGCTTATTGTGGCTTAAGAATTGCCAAGTCTGACGGATGAAGAAAGCACATTTGTACACACAGAAACATTAGTAAGAGAGGCATAAAGTTTAGAAGTAAAAATAAAACAAAGCCCCATTATTATTAACTGGGGTGTGGGGGGGAAATAATAGAGCCTGCATCCCAGAGAGCAAAGCACGTTACTGAAAGCTCCTGAGCTAAAAGCAGTAATTTAAGAGCTTGTCCACAACTTGCAGCAGAAGCTCGAACCATCTTAGTTAGCATTTGGAAAGTGCTGAAGTGTGGCCTACCCCCAGTCCAGCCTTCAGAGCAATACTATGCAAAAATAAAATAAAATAGTTCTGCTTTGTAATCTGACCCACAGAAAAGTCATTTGGGGCATGAGGGAATGCTCTCCTCCAGCCCGAGCTTTAATTCAGAGGGAATGTTTAAACTGAACAGTGTAAAACAGATGCTGAGAAATACATCTGCGTGGCACTGCGTGTTCTTTGGGGCACAAACAGAAGTTAGGAGCACTTATCAATGTGGCACATATGGCTACAATAGCTGCAAACAGTGCAGATGAACGGAGAAAAATTACACTCTTAGCATCAGAAAGTCCACCAGCAGAGTTCTGGCAGCCATGAACAACCGCATTCGTGTTAGCTCAAATGGATGAATATTGCTGGGACAAAAATGTGTCCTTTCACCTTGACAAATGCCATTACGAGAAAAAAAAAAGATTCCCAGAGGCAAATAAGGAGGCAGAAGCTCAAACAAACAGATTTAACGCATCCCGATGTTGGCACTGAGCTCTACAAGCAGCATGCTTTGACTGGACCTTGAATGAAGGAACAAACCAAAAGGCAGCACCTCAGTAACGCCGCACAGTGCTGCAGCACAGGGCTCTGGGGGCCAAAGTTGCCAGAGCTGCTTACATGCAGGAAGAAAACAATTACTGCTGGAAAAAAAATATCCAGATTATGCTAAATCTGGCAAAAGCTAAACCCAGCAGTTTACCCAGCTTTCCAGAGCAAACCACAGTTAAGAAAGTCTCCTATGAAAGAGAAAACCCAACAGTACACAGACCGAGCAGCAACACGAACAGCAGCAGCAGCGATCACTGCTGGGCAGCGATACCTGAGAAGCTGCACAAGAAGTTGCAAGGAGAATGCTAAGGAGGCACAGAAACCTTCCCCCCTGCTCCCCCCTTTCACACCAGCAGGTTTTAATGTTAATGATATGGCTCCGCATGCTTTAAGTATTTTTACACCATGCTTGCCGTCCTGTAGCTCTCTCGTTCCACAGCGGATGATTAGAATCAGATTTCTGTGATTTCACTGCAGATTAATTTCGTTAAGAGCTGAAGATCCGCGGGGAGGAAGGGCTACGGGCAGACCTGCAGACCCTCCCTGGCAGTGTTCTCTCCAAAAAGGGGAGCAGTATTTCTGCCTTTCCTCCCTACTTTCGTATACTTTCCCTTTTTGTGGCTGCTAGGCTGAGTCCTCTGGAAAAAGAGGCGAACAGGGAAAAGAAATGTGCAAAAATAAATTCCTTCAAGTTCTGGTTTCAAAGAAAGCTCCCAATCAGCACCAAGAGGAGAACGGGCCCAAGGCAGCCCAACTGCGTCCACAGCAGCTGTAACACTGCGCACAGATCAGTGCTGCACACCCATGTGTGCACAGACACACGTCAGGACAGCTATTAATACACCTTGTGTGTGCTGTGCTGGATACACAAGCCTGAACGAAAGCGAGAAAAACTGAGCGGTGATCTCTAATGCCATTAACAAACTGTTACTAATTGCAAAACACAAAGTGAATGTTTTTCACGGGTAAAGCGTACGGAATGCGGCACTGAAAACAGGTTCTGTTTGCAAAAATCTCCTAGGATCTGAGGGTAAAAGTTGTGTAGGTGTCTGTGTGCACGCTGAGGGCAGCACTACAGCAAAGAAATAATTCTGTTTAAAACCGTCCTGTGTGTTTTCTGAGCCACCCCAACTTTCATTTGCTTTCATAGAACGTGGCCACAAGAACGCTGCTGCCAGTTGGCCTTGCTCCTAATTCTAGATCACTGTTCTCGACTCGACAAGAGAGAAGGAAAGACATCTATGACAAACAAGCAGTCACGAGGAGCTGCAAAATAATTCTAATCTTAAGAACCTAAAATGTAACATAATACAGAAGGACATGGAATCAAGAAATATATGCTAGATGAGCAAACAGCCATCCCTACATACGGCATTATGTGGGTACGGCACCCAAAAAGAAGCACAAACCAGCATCCACAGAAGTGCAGCATGCAGAATCAAAACCAAAGGCAACTAACAAGGAGCACCCGAAGGACGAGGGAAGAAAGCAGCGACATAAACACGAGGAGTAGCAGAACCAGGCTGCTCCGTGCTTGTGTGACTGCTTCTATTAAAAGGGGGAAAAAGGGGTAAAAAAGAAAAACAAGAGAGGAAATAAAGAAGAGCTGTGTTTTCTGAAAGTGAAAGCGGTGAGGAAGGCCGCCCGCATCCTGCACAGCCACCGACGGCACCGACCCGACGCGCCCGGCCGCGGGCCTCCCGGCGCTGGAAGGAACGCGACGCACTTACGGTCCGCGGAGAACGAGCTCCGACCCAGCGCTACGGCCCGCGGGGAGCCGGGAAGGGCAGGGCAGCGGCTGAGGCGCCCCGAGCCGGGCCGGGCCGGGCCGCGCCGTGTCCCGGGGGCGGCGGCCCCAACCGCTCCGTCTTCGCCCGCTGCGAGCCCGGCAGGTCCTGGGAGCCGAGAACTGGGACTTTGTAGGCCAGTTGAAGACACGAACCTCTCATCTCGCCCGCAAAGACCCAGCCCTCAGCTCGCCCGATCGGGCGGGGATCGCGATTTTTTAAATTAAACTATTCTTTTAATTCCCTTCCCCGGCCGGTGCCTATCGCGAGCGCCGAGCCCCGGTCCCCGCCCCGCGGCCACGGGGGACCCCGCGGGCAGCAGCCGCCGCCCCGGCCCGCAGCAGAGCCCCGCGCCGCCTCCGTTGCCGGCTCCCCGCAGCCCGGGCCGGGCCCGCAGCGCGCCGTGACTCGGCACCGCACAGCCCGGGGAAACTCCGTGCGCGGAGAGCGAAAACGCTGAGAGCGGGCGAACGGGCTGAGGGGGGACCCCCGCGGCCTCCTCCTTTCCCCAGGGCCGCCGGTCCGCGGGGTTACGCCCGGGAAGGGCTCGGGCTCGGCTGAAGTCCGTGCGGAGAAGCGGCAGGACACAGCGGGCCCCCAACCGCGCCTCCCCGGCCGCTCGAGGCGGATATTTAAGCCCGTATTGATCACATCGAGATTTTTTTCCACCCTTCCTCTTTGCCCTCGCAAAAGGCAAAAGAAACAAATAATAAATTCGTTGCCACCAGGGACGTTGCAACATTTCTGTCGGCTTCTCAAGCGCTGCGTTTGCCCCGGCGTGCTTTCGAAGTCCCGACCCAACACGGAGAAGTAGGGCAAAGAAGAGAGAGGGGAAAAAAAAAAAAAAAAAAAAAAGAAGGAAAAAAAAAAGAAAAAAAAGAAAAAACAGCCCAAAGCAGCCATTTAAAAAGAGGGGAAAAAAATATAATAACAACAACGACGAAACGCCCAAAAACATCAAACCAGAAAGAGGCGAGCCGCTCCGTGCAACGTGACGGCACAATCCCGATGCGGTGGAGTTTCCGTCCGGCTGCAGTCACATCCCTCGAAAGTTTGATCCACGTGTTGCGGCCGCGTCCCGAGAGGGTCGGCACGGCCCGGCACACCGGGGCGGCACACGGGGCCGTTCCGCCGCTCCCGCTCCGTTTAAGGAAGCGGGCAGTCCCCACCCCTGCGCCGGGCAGCTCCAGCTGCAACCCGGCTCGGCGAATTTGGAGGCTCTCCCTGGCTGCCCTCTCCACCCCCTGCCCTCCCCGCAGCTCCGCCGGTCCATCCGGCCCCGCACGCGGCAGCAAGCGGCCGTCGCTATCCGCGGCCGCCCCGCAGCCGCCCCGCGCTCCTCCCGGTGTCGCTCCGCCGGGGCAGCCGCGCCGTGCTGAGCCGCGCCGCTCCGACCTGCGCGCCCCGCGGCCCACGGAGGGCGGAGGGCGCCCCCTGGCGGCCGCTCGGTGCCCGCAGCGCTGCCGCGGCCACTCCAAGCCGCTCTTGGAAGCCCCTCTGCCCCGCGTCACGTCGCGGAGGTCGCCCCGGGAGGAACCCCACGGAGGGTCGCTGCCGGCAGCACCTCCTCGTTACGCGTTACGCTGCTCGCTCCGTGTGTCTCTACGTGCCCAGCCTTCCCTCACAGGTCCTCTCTATGTAAATGTGCTGTGTGCTGCAGCGATGTCAGAGGACATACCCTGCCCTCCTCTATGTCCACCACCTTTTCACTTCCATGTGGTACAACTGGGTGGTGAGCCTGCACTGCTGGGAAAACCTGAGCACGAAGCACAGCTGGACCACATGTACAACCTATAGCTGTAAGGCCTCCATAAAGCCGCAGTCACACATACACATTTTAAAAAGTACTACAAGAAAATACCTGCAGTAATGTAAAGTCAGAAGGGTCACCTGAAACACCATGAGAAAAAAGAACATCCTTCCTGCCTGCACATTAATCTTAAGGTTATTCCTCTGCACAACCTCACCTGCTTCGTGTGGTTGAGCTTAGAGACATTTTGGAAAGATCACTTCATACACTTTGGGTGTGAAGCCACATGTGAGCCCTACCCGCAGCTCACAGGGGCTGCCAGTTTCTGCACCTCCTGTTAATCTAATGCTGCAGTGACAAACTGTGAGGAACAGGGGACAAAGCCCACACACACTGCAAAGCACTCCGGTTCCTTCGCATGACTGCACCCACGGACACTTTATGATAGCAAAGCAGTGAGATACAAAGATAGAGGACATCACTTACTGTTTCTGCGAGCTGTCAGCAATCACGGTGATGTTCACTGAAGATCACAGCAGGAACAGCCACATCGAGTTGAGCAGCACAGCTACGAGAATGCAGACTAGAGTGAACTCCCATAGGAGAACGGGAATCCCAGCACACCAGAATGCTTTCATCATCTCTTCTGTACCTGGTAGGAAAACATCAGCTGAGTAAGAAGCTCCAAACTGGGCTCCAGGTGCTAAAGCTAACAAAAATCACAGCCAGCACCCACAGCACTCATCTTTCAAACATTTGGGCTCAGCAGAACACAAACGTGCATCCCTGGTGTCTGTAAAGGACTTCTTCCTGCATCTACACAGAGACCATAACACAGCCACGTGCATGCAGGCTGCACCAGAAGCCTTTGCGTGCTCAGAGCTTTGGCACCAGCATTATTATGGCTGTGGCAAGTGACCACCAGGTTTGTGTGGCAGAATGGGATGAAGAGAACTTGAACTGGTCTGTACTGTAACCGCGACGCTCGAGCAATGCTGCAAAGTCATCCTTTGCACAGAAGGAAACGTTCCTTGGCTGGAAGCCTGATGAACATTTAGAGCCAAGGAACATGTTGCTTAAAAGCAATAGTAGATTGCAAAGTGAATCATGGAAAAAAAAAGGTTTGAAAGAGAGAAGTTGTATGAGGACTTTGTGAACAAGTTTTACTAAAGGAAGGTATGGAAATGATAATTTGTTATCATCTGGAATAACGACGCTCAGGAATTTGTTCTGAGCAGCGCTCGGTGAGTACTGAAATATTTAGAAATAAAGACGTGTGCAGGACACCGACCTCCTGAGAGGGGCACAGGATACTGTAGAAACCCTTCGGTTTAAAGAGAAAAGTCCTCAACAGTCTTTAGAAATGAACAGATTGATACTGTTGCAGAGACTGCGAGTCTCATCCACCAAGTACCTATTCTCAGTTTTTGGTTTTTTTTGCTACTCTTGCTCTTCAGCTGTGACAAAGAACCACTGGTAACAACACAGACCAACACCCAGCACAAAAAATTGTAGCAAGTGTCCTACCTCCATGTATGGAAGGACGAGCGTGAGACTCTTCCCGGTTCAGTGGATGGCACAGTCCTCAGCTGGTTTCCTGACCAACTGTTTGATTTGCTATTTTCAGTAGCCTCATACAATGTTGCCTCTTGTCTTCCTCTCGTCCCGGGCAATACTGGATGTCAAGCACGTCCTATGAGATCAGGGAAAGACTTTCACATGGAGCTTCGGCCCAGCAGGAGCCTGCAGGGAGCCTCATCCTGCGAGACGCTGCTCAGCTGCTGACAGCCTGCTCCGCTTCCAGCGAGGGCACCGGCGGTGCTTTGGTGGTGATCAGGCACATGGCAGACAGGTCTCCCCCCCAGCAGGGGACACATCTGTACCTGAGGTCAGGTCTCTGGACTGCAGCTCCTCCCACAAACACCGTGCAGAACCCGTGTGCTGGGAACGTGACCGCAGCCCCTGTCTGGGTGAGAGGTGGGAGCAGGATTAGCCCCGCATTCACTTCGGATGTCATCACAAGCAGATCACGTTGTAAAGCATCACAACTTCCACAATTCTAAAAATAAACATCAGCAGTTTGGTTGAAGTGTTTTGGCAGCCAAAGGGCTAACATATTAATAACACAAGACCAACAGCAGCCCAGAACAATAACTACGGAACAGCAGATCCTATTGCTTCTGAAAATAGCCCTGTTTGGAAAAAAGAAAACATTTCTACAAGACCCATAACCCAGCAGTAGCTTCTTTCTGGGTCTTCACAAAGGCTTCAACACACAGAAGGCTGATGTGCCACCTGTGAGGTCCGGAGAGAACTGCTGCAATGTACACAGTGGGTGGGAGGCTGGGCTGCACATCACTGACAGGGACACAGACCCTGGGATGCAGTTTGGTCCTGCTGAATGCATGCATTAATCTGAGTTCTTCTTTCACAATTCTGCCTACGCTCACGCAATGCCTTTCTCTGCAAGCAGAGCCATTGATTTGTTAACTCTCCAGCATGTGGTACTAAGCAGCATGTGAGCAAGCACGGCTTGCAGCCAGCAGCTTGGTATTTCAGCATCACCCCTTGGTGACAAAGAAACTGGATCATCAAAGTAGTTGAACACAATGATCAGTGAGAGAAATAACTGAAAGTCCACTGCTGGCAGAGGGTGAAACTTGCAGGCCTTCACCTGAAAACATTAATCCACGCTAGACGACCAGAATCAGCTCTTTAAAATAAATAAAATCAATAGCAAGCTCATGATTGAAAACTCCTGAGCCATTCCAACATAGTGCACTGCAAGGATCAGGCCTGACCCAGGCTCTGCACAACACCAGCAGTCCATCAGGACGAATGGAAGCACAGCCCACCTGAGCTGCTTTCCGTGAGCTCTGCCCAGCTCTGAGCAGCCCTGTGCCACCGCAGAGCTGCAGCCTCAGCTCACAGAGCAGCACAGCTCACGCTCTGCTTGCTGGCCAAGGCCCAGCCTGAGAACCCCAGGCCAGTTGTCAATACATGATGAATGTCCCACCAGAAATGGGGCCTTCGTACTTACAGCACATGTGTCTGCAGGAGAGAGGAGAAAAATCAAAGCACTAACGAGCTATGATTAAGCTCAGAAATAATGGTTTCCTGTTCAAACACAGAACTACGTCTCTTCGTACAACTACCTCATCCCCAATTGTGTCTATTAAAGACAATTACCACGGGAGACAGATCCGTGCAGCCAGATGTGGAAACAACGGTTATGTTACACACAGTGCCATATGCAGTTTGAATTCTTTGTGGCTGAACACGTTACATGTAAAAAATGGTGTGTTTGTGCACAGAGGAGCAGCTGTCAATTGGGAAATCCCCTTAGCCTGCTTTAATCCTTCATTCCACAATCCCCAGGGATTAAACAAATGCACTAACATTATTTACTATAACGCTGCCTCCACGGGGGGCTTCAGTCCATGAAATCCACTCCAGCATTTGCAAGTTTCAGTTGTGAAATATGCTGCGAGCGTTCTATATTTGGTAGCTTTGCAAGTACTCTTTAAGTTGGGCCCAGAGTGATGAAAGGACAGGAGTCAGGAATTCAGCTGCAGCAGAGGCTTGGCGTGGGAGTTCACTTCTCTCTGCAGGGCTCTCCAGGGGCACCAAGCACTGCAGTGACTGCTGAGAGGGGACAGTGCTTGCGGGGCTATACAAGACACTGACAAAATGGAAGATGTTGCCATGGTACTAATCCTCCCACCATCTATACCCTGAGGGTACAAAATGAAGTTTTTGAACCCAGTTCTGCCAGTAAAGCCTCACTTGCTTCTGCTTTCCTTCTCCCGTGATGCGATACGCGTTTGAACCTGGCTACAACAGCCATGAAGTGAATGACAAGGATTCAACCAGCTCACAGTCCTCACAGAGTAATGCTCTGCACAATGCCACCATGTTCTTGTGACCATTTGTGGCGCCCAACAGTGACACACAGAAGCAGCAGGCTGGGGCCCCAGGAGATCTCTGGCAGATCTGCAGCACTAGCTGATCACTCAATCTCATTCTTGAGCTTCCCAAGTTAAGTTCATTGCAGGCACTTCAAAGACAGCAAACACTAAACCCCTATCTTTGGCCGTCCTCGCCTTGAATTTGGACACAGTTTGAATTCTTTTGTTTAGCTGATTGTTTGAACCCAGCACTCCTGCTTCAGTTATCACTGCTACAACCAATCCAGCAGGCCACAGCCACGCTGAGCATCGCCCACAAGAAGGCACAACAGGGCAGGCTGTGTCCCGCCATCATCTCTAGGCCCATGGAACCACACTGTGCTGAACGCAAAGGAAATAATTCGCCATCCAAATATGAGGACGAATAGTTTGGAAGCTACATTAATCCAAGGTCTGACTGCTCCCATGGCACTGCATTTGCAAACAGACAATTTCATCAGCTCCAGTATAATTCTTTCCAGCCTACACCCAGCCACAGCAAAAACTGCACTCATGTCACTGGCCTTCATCCTGCAGTAATTCCTCCCTCAGTGGTACACAGCAGTGCTTGCAGGGGCAAAACCCTGGTGCACAAACCTGACAGGGCTGGGCTCTGGGTCTCTATTTCTTTCACACACTTTACAGTCAGGAGCATGAGTAAGCACCCAGGAGAGAATGAGGGAGAAACACGGGGCTTCTGAGACCAGCAGATCCCTTGCTGCTATGATAGGGGAGGAGATGATGAGATTGTAAATCTCCTGTCCACTCCCCCTCCCTGCTCCTCTTTCCCTTGCATGACTGAAGCTTGGTTGAGGCACGCTGCCTGGAACGTCAGCTGGCACTTGCTGGCAGTCACTGCCATTCAGCACCACTTCTTCCACTTAATTCTGCTTTCACACGTTCCCTGGTGGAACCCAGGCACCAAGCACTGCAATGACAGCCACTGAACAGCCTACCATGGGATAAAGGACTCCAAGTGCCACACAGCTCATTAGCAAACCTGAGCTGCCACCAGCACCACACTACGCCTCACCCAGGGGGCTGCATGCTGGTCTGGGCACAACCACACCTCACTGTGAGCATCTAAGTGCAGCAGCAGCATCCTCAGCACCAAGCCTCTGTCACAGCAGAAATGCAATTTCCTGAATGGTTCCCAGTGAAAGAACATCACCACTTCACCCCTCCCCACATCTCCATGGAAGGGGACACTGTAACCCAGAACCTCCAAACACTGAGCAAGGAGGCTCAGTTTGCCTTTCCCACAGCTGCCGTAAAATAGCTTTCAAAGGAAAAAAAAAAAAAAAAAAAAAAAGCAGAACAATTCCTTATTTCCTACACACTGTCATTACTTCTTTATATTACTGAATACTGCAGCACTCAATGGATTTCTATTTGCAAACACCTTCCTGCTCCTCCCGCAGAACAAATCAAGTCATTTCTGCTTCAGCCTTCGGCATGCAGACAAAAACATTTTTTATTCATCAGTGATAAAAGGCTGCAGCCATTTGACTTTAAACACAGACATGCTTCTGGGCTCTCTTCCAGGAAGTCTGTGTCACCCAGGCTTCAGATCGATATGTTTGTCTGCAGAGTCACCCTTCTGATCTGTAATTTTTCATTCTGACACAAGAAATGCCTTTTGGTCAAACTTCAGCAGTCCATTAAATTCCAGGCATAATGGAAATGGGACTCGCACTGCTGTGGCCATGCGAAGATTTCCACAGTTTGGGGTTTATTTACTCAGGAGTTAATTTACTCAACCACATATTTGCCATTCAGACAACACTGCTGTGCTGTTCTCCTGCCTCACCCAAACCCACCGCCATCCCCCCGTTGTTTGCTGGCAGTCCCAGCACCCAGCTGTACCTTTATGACATGCTCTCAACACTCCTTGTCTAACCTGCAGGGAAAATCTGCACAGCCCCACGTGGCACACGGTGAGCAGTTCCCCTTTGCTCCCAGCAGCACACAGCACCCAGCTGCTCACCTTGGCACACAGCTGGCATGTGGGTTTTCTCTCCAAGCTCAGGGCTTCAAGGATTGGGTGTTTTTTCTTTCCCCACTTTTTTTTTTTTAATTACAAACAAACAAACAACAGAGAGATGTCAGCTGTCCTGTGCAGGGATACCCAAAAAGCACAAGCACTAACAAGACGGCTCCACGCATTCCCAACTGCAGCTCCTGTGACAGCCCTGGCCGTGCACCACGAGGTGCTCACACAACTCAGGAATGATCTCACCACTATTTCTGAATCCAACACACAGCTTCCCCTGCGTTGCTAACGCTGCTTTTCAGTTGCTGAAGGCTGATCCCAGGGAGGACGCGACAGACACTCAGGAGAGTTGCAAAGTGCTGTAAATGTTATTACAATCCAAACAAAGAACGCAATGCTTTTAGTTCCCATTCACATCTTGCTTTCCTAAAGCCAGCATTTTCTGTCAGCCTCTCAAAAGCACAGGTAATACAGAGTCAGAAAAGACCGCTGCTATGAGTGATTTGTTTTAACACTTACTTTTAACAGGAATTTTAAAGGGGTCATGAAGGTGTCTGCGCTGTGAAGGAGCCCATCAGCTCAGAAGGTCAGGAAGTTCCGTGCCTGAACACATGTAAAGATTTTCAGCAGCAACACACATTTTAAGTACCTAACAAAAACACATTACGATTAACGTAATTAAAAGGAGCCTCATTTTAATCCTCATTTAGTGTCACATTCAGAGGGAGACTCCTCAGTGTTTTGTTTTTTTCTGTTTTTTTTTTTAACAAAATCAAAGAGCAACTCGGATGAGAGATCCGAACGTTTTGGTTTGTATTTGGTCAGGCTTTGTATCCAAAACAAACAAGGCTCTCCTGCCCACACCGCCCCTCAGCACAGCTACCGTCAGTGTGTAATCATCTTCATTAAAGTTCACCGACCTTCAGGACATTAAATAATACATTAAAGCCCAACTCAAATTTCTTTCCCACGTAAGAAGGAAGGGCATTTGGGAGGTGGGAGGGCAGAGATCTGCCTCAACACAGCCCTGCAGTGCCAGGAGCTCCCATAGAACAAAGCAGTGCAGAGGCAGCACTGAGCAGAGCCCCAGCAGTGCTGGCGACTTGGAGCTGAGGGCACTGTGGATGTGATGAGCAGGTACTCTTACTCAGCATTTAGGCTGGACTTTGCTCCCAAACAAGCTGATGCAAACTTGTTAGTTTGAACAGATCTCTGCTACTTTCCCTCCATTGGGGTCTGCTGTTTTTCCAGCTCTGCTAACACACAGCCAAGGCAGGCCAAGTGCAACATGTGTGTGAGGTGACAAGGACACATATGGAGCCAGCTGCTCACAGCCTGAGCTGCTGCTGCAAGAAGTCGCTCAGCTATCTGGGAACCTGCAGCCTCTGCTGCTGAGCCAGGGCTGCTGGCAGCCCCCTCCAGGAGGCTCAGCACAGCATCAGTAACACACCAGCCCAACCCTGCCACTAAGCCAAGCAGAACTTCCCAGGGGTGACACACTCTGCCATTAAAGCTCTACCTGTTGGGATGTGTGCCTATAGTGAAGCCTCCACCTGTTCCTTTCTGTACAGATTACGATGCCCATGCACTACAGCTGCTGTCTGCGAGGAGCTGGGGAGCTTTGAAGGTGACAAAGCCAGCAGGATGCACAGAGAACCCGGCATCACCGAACAGAAGGGATCCAGGCAGGTGAGTCTATGCAGCAGGTGAGTCTGTGCAGCAGCAGAGACACACAGCAGCAAATCCTGCCAGCCCTTCCCACAGTGCCGAGCAAAGAGCTGCACTCACCTGAGAGTTACAAGCAAATATTCCTGTTCTGCAGAGACTGAAGTGAAGCAGCTGGTGAACCACCTGTGTTACAGCCACAGAGAGCAGCAGTGCCACAGCCTTACTGACACACACCCAGCTCCTTATCCTGTGCTCACAGCACACATTTGGGCAGGACTCAGCTGCTCAGATTTACTGATGGCAAACCTCCTTCAAGGAGCGCCTCATTTTTGCAACTGCTTGCAACTGGAAGCAAACCCACAGAGCTCTGAAATTCTCTGCAGAAGCTGTGAGACGGGTTTTGAGTCATTGCAAACATTTTGGTTTGACATTCTGATGTGAGACGCTACAGAATTTCAAAGATAAAAAGTGCTTCAAAGCGGAAGCTTTCATCCTCAGAAGCCTGCAGCAAAGTTTTGACAGCACTGCATTTTCCTACTAAAACGCTGCCTATATTTTTGCAAGCAAGTTCTAAACTGCATTTCCTGTTTTTCTATCAAATGTACTCTGGCATGTTTTATGGTTCATTAATAACACCCTGCACTCCCCACGCACCCCATGCACCCACACCTGCGGTACCTATGGAGGACAGCAGCCCCTAGCAGTCAGCATTGGGCTGAGCAGCTCCCCCTGTGCGGTGCCCCTGGAAGAGGCTGCTCAGCTCTTCCCAAAGACCTGACTGCAGAGATCCTGCAACAAAACATCTCTTTACATCCTGTGAGCCACCTGGAAGCAGCAATAATTGAAGCGCTGCCATACAGAGCTGGCAGAAATGCCTTTTGGACGCATGCAAAGTTCTGCACAGCTTTATGCAACAAGAACCGGGCAATTGAGCTCATTCTGGTGTAAGAGGTACAAACTGCATGGAGCTTTCCGTGGCTGCATTGCTTTATTCCTGGATTCAACCTCCTTCCACCATCCCGAGACACCAAAACCCGCACCTGCACAGTAACGGCAAGGAGGGCTCAGCGCTTCCAAGCTCACCGCACATCACCTGCAGTCTGGCCGTGATTTACTGCACCCACACCGCTGTCCTCCAGCAAAACCTCGGACTCCGCTCGCTTCTGCCTCTCCCACGGACCGCGGCCGATTCTGACACGGACGCACAGCCGGGCCCACCTCGCTTCGCTGCTCCTCCGCCGTCGCAGCCGGCCCACCCCGCGGCACGCGGCACCCGCACCGCTCCGAAGCCCCGCGGCCGGGAACAAAAAGCGGCCGCAAACCCGGCCTCGGGCGGCTTCCACGCCGCAGGGCGAGCCGCGAGCCGCACTCCCTCGAGCAGGCACGGACGGGGTTCGAACCCGCGATCTTCGGTTTACGAGACCGACGCCTTACCACTTGGCCACCGCGCCTGACGGGCTAGCAGCAGCCGCGCGCAGCCAGTGGAAGGCGGCGGCCTCCCGCCCCGCGCGGAGCGACCCGGGCGGCGGCAGGGCGGGGGGGCGGGGGCGAAGGAGGGGCGGCCGAGCCGGGCGGTGCCGGATCGAGGCGGCGCCACGGAAACGGGCGGCGGCAGCGGGAACGGCCCTCGGTCGGAGCTTCCCCGGGCCTCCGCCTTCCTCAGCTCCCCGGGTTACGGGACGCAGCCCGCTCCCCGCTCGGCTCCGCTGCTCCGCCTGAATTTTCACATTTTACATCTTCTGCTTACGCCGTCACACCACAACAGGGCAGCACCGATTTATGCAGTTATTCGTATTTCCTCCTCGGGGTTCCACGTTAGGACTTCTGGCTGAGGCTCGGCTGCAGCCGGGCAGTGCCAGCGCTCAGCCCCGCAGCACCCCGCGAACCTCCCGGCCCCCCGCCGGCACAGCGCCCGGACGGAGCCGCTCCCCGCTCCGCTGCCCCGGCCCGGCCCGCTCCCCGCCGAAGCGCTGAATGCAATTCCGGCCGCGTTTTGGCAGCCTCCGTTACAGCACAACGGGGAGAGAGCGCACGCAGGCGGTGCTGAAGTCGGCCCTCGTGCGGTGCTGCATCCCTGCTACCTGCCCCTCTTGCTGCTTGGAAGTCTGAGCTGTGATTTATAAGCCCTGTGTTAGGTGCTGTGGCACCCATTAATCACCCACCTGCTTCATACAGGTCTGTTAGCTAATGCACAGAGGTCTGAGCGCGATGAAATAGGGGTGTATGCCTAAGCTTGCCTCCTGTCACAGTACTTACGTATCAATGCTACAAAGTTACCATTAACCCAAATTCATACAGCTAGGACAACGGTCAATGCACTCTTCATGCGCTCCAGCCCCTTTCCTGCCTCCCAAAAGCAGCTGGCTCCAAGAGCACAACTGCTGCTGAGCTATGCAAGCAGAGTCCCTGCTGCAGCGTGTAGGTCAAGAGAGATTCAGAAGGGAGCAACACATCCCAGAACCCCATCCTCCAGACATGGCTTTGAGACTCATATGTTGAATGCTTATCTGCCAGGATGAGATCAGTGCTCAATGCCAGGCCGGTGCGCTCCCTTGGCGCGCACACAAGATGGATTTTCTGTCTGCAAAGGCTCTCCTTGCCCCCACCCAAGGTTCCAGGAGTCAGAACTCCTGCAATCTCATTCCTGCTCTGCTACTGCCCCACTGAACCTCTGCCTGGTTTCAGGACTCCTTTCCTTTCTCCCTTTCCCCAAAATATAAGAGCAGGGGTAACCATCACCACGGGGAGCTCAGGCATCTCAGTCCTGTTTGCATGACGACGTGGGGCTCTGAGCACAGAATGGCACCACTTGTTACAGCTGTTCCAGGCTGTGTGACACAGTGCTGACGTGCACCTCCCCTCCCAGCACCAGCTGGTCCATTTTTCCAGCCTTCCATTTTCCACCTTCTTTCTGAGCCAGTGTGTAAATGGACTGAAGCAGGTCAGTAGTGCAGCACATCAGCCGGAGCTGCTCTTGAGATTTTGGGGCATAACTGCTTCACATTTCCTTGGTGCAGCAGTTTAACAGACACAGAGGGGCACTGGTAAGGCCTGCTGTTACAAATCTGAATATCCAACACTTCACTGCCATAAAGAATGTGGGAAAGGGAAAGGCCGAGAGGTCAGGGGTTGCACTGTGGGTGCCCTCTGTTCAGTGCCTTTACTGCCGGGAGCAGCTGCCAGCCAACGGCGGGCAGGCAGATACTGGGCAGTACAGACAGCGGCTGCAGGAACCATCAGCTGCACAGCAAAGTGCTGTGATTGCTGAGGAGGACCGAGCAGCATGGTAAAGGAGGCTAATTACTGCGCTCCTTTTATACAGTAACATAAAACTAGCCTCTGAGACCGTTGCTACAATAAATAAGCTCAGATTCAGAAAGGAGAATGTGCATCGCTAACGAGCATTCCCCTTCTTCCCTCTCCCTTAGAGAGCTCACCACAGCCTCAGCGTTAAATTACGCACCTCAAGGACAGATCTCTGCATAGCACCGACCCCAGCGGCATCGGGGGGCTGTGGGTAACCCTCCCATGGGCATGGCTGAGCCCCCAGAGGGGGAGCGCGGTTCCTCGTGAGGAAAACCGTAATCCTGTGGAAGCGCCGTGCAGCGGCGGTGTGAGCACGCAGTATGGGCACACAGCGGCGGCACGGGCACGCAGTATATATGGGCACGCAGTATATATGGGCACGCAGGCAGAGCGGGGTAGCACTGAGGGGCAGCACGCGGCCGCTCGGCACAGAACCTTCCAGAACTCCACCCTGCATTTCCACAGCCGGACCCACGTTTCTTTTTTCTTTACTCCAGCCATTAAAGCAAAACCTGGAGAAGAGGCTCAAAATAGAAAAAAAAGTTACAAAATAAAGATAAAACTTTACCTCAGCGTTCTGGTCCGGAGGATGCGGCGGGCAGCGGTGCGCCGTCCCCGTTCCACGAGGGAGGACAAGCGAGGTCCCACGACTGGTCCGGGTCCCAACCGAGGCCCCGCCTCCCGCAGCCCCCCCCAGCTCCCGGGCTGCTGGGAGCGTCGCTCTGCAAGCGCGAGCGCGGCCCCGCGGAGCTCAAACGGATCCCCCGCAGAGCCGCAGGTGCCGCTCAGCAATTAGTTAATTGCAGCTGGCCACGGGCCTGCCAACAGCTCGCAGCTGGAGCTCGATTTGCTCGCAGCGCTGCACGAGGAGCCGCACAGCCGCGTGCCGGCACCGCATCGCCGCGCGATGCCTTCAAACCGTGCGGGAAAGGAGGGAGTCGGGCTGCAAACTGTTGCCGTGTGCTGTCACAGCGAGGGGAAAGGATTCACGGGAGCGAAGACAGCTTTATTGTCCCCGTACGGAGAAAACTGTAATGGCAGGGTGCGACAGGACTGACATGGCTTCACGGGTGGTGGAAATTACAGAATGAAGTTGCAAATAATTGTATGCTGCTTTTGTTGGCTGCTTTTTTTTTCCTGCAGCAATGAAGCGAATGGACTTCGCTCAGTTTCCAACCAAGCCACCCTTGAAGCCAAAAATAAAACCACCTCCTTGCTTCCAAGGCAGCTTCCTGGGCTGAGAGGTGGATGCCAGATTCAGTTTAAAGATTTCAGCTCTCTGAGGAGGGAACGTTGCATTTTATAGATTAAAACTTTGGGCTTTGGAGCTTTTAGTAGGTGCTGCTTTTTGTACGCCTCGCCATTTATCTCACCGTATCCGCGGTGCTTATCGGTGCTCCGTGAGACACAAGAGGGAACAATTCAAGCATCTGACCAGGCGGGGGGGTCAGCACTCAATGAACGCAGCCACGTTTTGCTGTGCTACAAACCCAAGAGTTTTCCCTGCAGCTGCTAAGTGTGAAAAGCAAAGCGCTCCGTTCCTCAGGTCTGCAGGAGGTGCTTAAGGCACAGTTTGCCATCTGGGTAAGAAATTCTGCCCCCTTCGTACTTTTCATGCACTTTTAGCCTTGCAGACCCAGGGTCCTTCCTTAGGAAAAGAGGCCACAGAAGGCAGGAAGGGAAGAGAAACAGAAATCCAATGAGTTTTACCCTAAGAAGGAGGACCTATAAATGGGCACTGCTGTCCTTTTTGATTCCAATAGTCAAAGTAAATCACTCACCCACTTCCACAAAAATAACCCCAGGACTGAAATAAACCTAAAATGGGCAACGCGTTCAAAGGAGGTTTTTGTCTGAAGTCCATTTCAAGTACAGATGGAAACAAATAGTCTCTGATGTGCATAAAAACTACGACCACTGAGGCAGGACCTTAACACACAGCTGGGTGTTTTATTTCCAATTAACCAAAACTAACAAGCAGATAAAATTGGTCTCATAGTGACACCAGAACAGATCCAGGGAGTGTGTGAGATACTGCCATATAGAGACCAGCCACCTGACAGCACACTGCTAAAACAAGACAAAGAACTGCTGATTAAATTACATTTCATTTGCTAAGGAATTCTGAACATGACCTAGTGCTTCTAAAAAAACCTGTATAAAATGAGTATTTTTTACATCTCAGGCACATGAATACAAATCTGAGCTATTTTATATATACAGACATTTACATTACATGAAAATCTGAGATGAAGATCAAATGAAAAAAAAAAGCTTTTATAAAAAGTACCCAAAACAGCAGACGAAATGTGAAAATACAATGCATTCTCACAACAGAGAAGTAAAAGGCACGAATACTAAAATGTATAACCATGCAAAAATGTAAGTACAACCTGTGCAACAAAGCAAAACAAACGGCTCCCACAAGTGGTTTTACAGTAATTCTCAGAATATCACAGTATTGAAACATACTGTAAGTGCAACATTTACTGTCCCGTAGCACAGTGAAGTGTTCACACCATACCAAATTCTCCCTTCCAATCTCCCTTCTCCAAAGCCAGAATGATTTAGCTAAGGATAAAGCCTTAAATCAAATGGAGCTGATGTTGGGTGGTGTAAGGTGGAAGAGTAACTGCAGCCCTTCTGCATCCACTACTTACTGTGCATGGAATGTGCACCGACCAGAGCAACCCCTGCCCCTGGCCAGGGCACAGTGGGCTTTGCAGAGGTTTGCCAGGGTGAATTTCACTCTGCTGAGAGCAGTGATGTGAAAGCTCCAATGTCAAAGTTGCACCACTAACAACACCTACATAAGAAACAAACACAGATCCCAGGGGTAGGTAGCCAAAATATACCAAGGAAGTCCGTGGTTATTAATGCTTTCCTCACTAGGCTAAAGTTTAAGTTAAAAAATATTCTCTCCCTAGTTACATGTTTCAGTGTGTGCTGCTCTCACAGTTGAAAAAAATAAAATAAAATT